AGACTTTCTGATGTATAAACTGTTGCTTTAAGCAGCAATGACAACTGTCTGTTTTTTGTGTGTGACAAGCGAGCTGTCAATCACAGCCCAGACCACGCCCAGCTCCAACCCCCCCTTCTTGTCCCCTGGTCCTCCAGGCAACGTCCTTTTTAGAGACAATTTTCAAATGTTCATGTGGGCGGAGTAAGGCTGGGCACAGGTGTTTAGTTGTCCTTTAAGCAAACCGAATGAATTATAGGCATATTATAATTATTTTTTTACCCCCGTGATCAAGAGGGCTATGCCAAAGACTATTTAACCTACCCGAGTATTTTAACGAAATCGGCAAAGTACAACAAGGGTCAATGGCTAACTTACATGCAGTACTTTCAAAAAAATCAATGTATTATGTTTCCCCACACGTGTAGAGGAGCAGGGTCCATTTTGTTCCGGCTCAAATTAAGCACTGCTTATTACAGACAAGCCATCATTATTCTCTGAATGGACGATTCTCACATGAACAGTGAGCTCCCAGCATCACTCACATTATTCTCATACAACAGACTAAAAGTCACAACAACAAGCAGACGTCATAGAATCACAACAAGCAGACGTCATAGAATCACACCAAGCAGACGTCATAGAATCACAACAAGCAGACGTCATAGAATCACAACAAGCAGACATCAAAGAATTAATCTATTTATTTATTTAGAGGATAAGCCCCTTGAGATGAACCATCTCATTTTCGAGGGGGTCCTCGAGATTTCACAAAGTGACAGATACAGCAAAACAGATGCAAACAAAACATAAATACAAGAAAATTGTAAATAAAAAACATAAAAAACACACACACATAAACCCTCAATCACTCACACACGATGTGACTGTACTGTAACTACACTAAATAAGGATAATACTATTAATAATAGTAATAACAGTAATTAGGAGACAGTAAAGACAAGTTTAGGCAACAAGCAGACATCATAGAGTCACAACAAGCAGACATCATAGAATCACAACAAGCAGACATCATGGAATCACAACAAGCAGACGTCATGGAATCACAACAAGCAGACATCATAGAGTCACAACAAGCAGACATCATGGAATCACAACAAGCAGACGTCATGGAATCACAACAAGCAGACGTCATGGAATCACAACAAGCAGACGTCATGGAATCACAACAAGCAGACATCATAGAGTCACAACAAGCAGACATCATAGAGTCACAACAAGCAGACATCATAGAATCACAACAAGCAGACATCATGGAATCACAACAAGCAGACGTCATGGAATCACAACAAGCAGACATCATAGAATCACAACAAGCAGACATCATGGAATCACAACAAGCAGACGTCATAGAGTCACAACAAGCAGACATCATAGAGTCACAACAAGCAGACATCATAGAATCACAACAAGCAGACATCATAGAATCACAACAAGCAGACATCATAGAATCACAACAAGCAGACATCATGGAATCACAACAAGCAGACGTCATGGAATCACAACAAGCAGACATCATAGAGTCACAACAAGCAGACATCATAGAGTCACAACAAGCAGACATCATAGAGTCACAACAAGCAGACATCATAGAATCACAACAAGCAGACATCATAGAGTCACAACAAGCAGACATCATAGAATCACAACAAGCAGACATCATAGAGTCACAACAAGCAGACATCATAGAATCACAACAAGCAGACATCATAGAGTCACAACAAGCAGACATCATAGAATCACAACAAGCAGACATCATAGAATCACAACAAGCAGACATCATAGAGTCACAACAAGCAGACATCATAGAATCACAACAAGCAGACATCATAGAGTCACAACAAGCAGACATCATGGAATCACAACAAGCAGACATCATAGAGTCACAACAAGCAGACATCATAGAGTCACAACAAGCAGACATCATAGAATCACAACAAGCAGACATCATAGAGTCACAACAAGCAGACATCATAGAATCACAACAAGCAGACATCATATCAATTACCAGAGTAAACTCAAAGAATACCTCAAAGTGAAACAGATTAGTGTTTAATTAGGCCTGAACTCCGACTGGGGTAAACCAACTGGGGTAAGGGCCTATTGCTTTCACAATGTTGAATGCAAGAGGTCTAGGTGCGTGACGGACGCGTCAGTGCCTGTCACTCATCAAAACATGACGGTTGTGTGCATGAACTCAAACGCTTTAAATTGATGTATCAGGTGCCATTGAAACCTATATTGTTTTTGCTCGGAGACTTGCGAAAAATTATTCTGCACTTAATGGGAACCTTACTTTGACCCCCTGAACGTGCATGAAAACTTGCCAAATTTTGCCCAGCATTCAGAACCAGCAAAAAATTACCTTTTTTGGTGTTTATTATTATGGGACAAAAGAAATGCCAGAACAGGGTACCCTACAAAAGTCAGTTTACATTGCGCCTATTGCCTCAAAATCGTCCCACATCGTCTAAACACATGCACCATCATTTTCATTTCATGAAATTTTAAACGTTAAACGTTGTTTGAGCAGCAGAGCTGCAAATTGTGACTTCCCCCCCCCATTTTTGACAATAGAAAATTTTCTCCCGTTTGCACATGCAAAGTCCGATTCGCATACAATTTTTTATCCATTGTTCCGCTCCAGGGTCTAGGTCAATTTAAGTTGGCTCATTAGCACCCCCTACAGACTATGTCAAAGTTTTACATTGGGCTAATCACATTTAGTTTTTTCAAAATGTTTGACATTTTGCACATTATTCAGTTTTGCCCTCTTTATTCAAAAAGTCAATGAGAACCAAGATTTATTATTTACCCTGTTGCTGTGGCGACGACAAACGCTCCCCATTCTAAGTTAATGGCAAATGTACACCTCGCACAAACATCAAACCAGCCTCGGCCGTTTCACCGATTTGGCTGAAAATCACTCCACATCATCCCAACACATGTACCATCAATAGTTGTTCATAGACATTTGATTAGCCACATGGTCATCCAGTGGAGACTGTATATATATGGACACACTCACAGATTCTACAAGTGCTCCTGTTTGCACATACAAAGTCTGATTGGTGCTCAACTTGTTAAACAACGGAGACAATATTACATTGGCTCTTTAGCGCCCCCTACAGACTGAGTCCATGTTTTACATGGGGAGCCAAACCAACTGATCATATTCATTACAATTTTACACATGTTGTTCTATGGCTCTGGAAGAAAATCATGGCGCAGCGGCGCCCCCTCCTTTGCTGCAAGCGGGCCGTTTGACGCTGCTTGCAGCTTTAATTATATATTGCAGCACTTTTCTCTACTGTGTCCAGTTGTGAACAGAATCAATGTTGTCCCCACCACTGACTGACTTTCAGCTACTATAGAATAAAGTACGAAAGTGCTTTTGTGTTGAGGTCTTTTTGCATCATCTTTTCCTATGACTGATGTATTCTGTCTAATATTTACAGTATATCAAACCATCCTTTATTCAACCTAAGCTGATCTTTCTCCCTTATCTTAATTATCACTAGGTGTTCACAGAAATCAAGTCAAGCCAGATAAGTCTCCACACGATCATCACCTACACATCCATGCATCTCCGTAACGTTTAAATCCGTGTCAGTTCCCTTCTTTCTCGTCCTTTGACTGCGTGGGGGTGGATGGATGTGAGAGCAGCAGTAAAGACAAGCAGCTCTGAGCACCTGGCCTTCAACATCCACAAATAGGAGCAGGAGCAACCGGAGAGGAGCGAGAGCCGCCCACAGCCTTCTGTCCTCCAACAAACAATATCCTCCTCATTCTTCAGGAGTTGCGTCATGGAGAGAATGAGACAGAACTGCTCCACAGTGAGAGTAAAGAGCTGTGATGTCAACAGTGAGAGAGGCGTCTCGCCAGAGAAACTCCTGTTTTTGAGGCAGTATAACAAACAACCAGGATTCAACAGGACTTTCCATTACCTTTTAATCACACACAGACACACACACACACACACGAATATGATGGAGCAGCATGTGTCCTGGTCATTGTATGATTGTGGAAACTATGCGGGATAAAAGGTTTGTATGAGGTATTGGTGCTCAGACCCACCTCGCTTGCTCAACAAAACCCAATAGGGAAGTTTCTAATGAATTCCATGCAAAAGTAACTCTTCTAGCTCAGTAACTGTTAGTGTCACACTTAACATTTTGGGCTTTAATCTGTGGTTTATAGCTCTCTATGATCCTGCTGTTTATATTTGTAAATCCAGATATGAGCCATATAAGGATTGACCAATTAGAGGCCTTCATTTGTGGGGTAAACAACAGCTTTCCTTAGCAACTGTCTTAGCAACACGCCTGCCCCTGTTACGACACAAATCTATTGCGGTCTACGGACCGTGATGAATCTATGGACTAATGTCTCCTATGTGTGGAGCCATTACAAACACTGCTTTATGCAACTGGATATTTTTAAATATTGGGTTTAGTTCTGCGTACAGGTGTCTTCCATGTCCAGTGTGTCTGTGTGAGAGGAGGCAGACAGAGGTTTGTGTGAGAGTCGCATCCAACAAACACACATCGTACTGAGTACGAAGCAACAGAGACATCACTGCTGTCAGAATATACTCAGCATGTACACCCTCACCAGGGTGGACAGGCTGTGAGAGAATGAGGGAGAGAGGGAGGGAGGGAGAGAGAGGGGGAGAGGGAGGGAGAAGGAGACAAAGAGTTAGAGGAAGAGGGTGGGGGAGAGAGAGATGGGAAAATAGAGAGGGAGGGACAAAGAGGGTGGGAGGGGTTCAGAATCGATTCGAGGAACAGAATCGAGGATCGGGTTCGATCCTCAGGGTTCAGAAGGCCCAAGGCCCAGTTTGGCCCTTTGTCTGGGAGGGACAGTGCTGATGGAGGAGGTGAGATATGAGGGGACCAGGTAATGAAGGAACACCATTTAAATAATTTCAAGTACCCCCTGTAATACCCGTGTGTACCCTGTTGGGACACACAGCTCTACAGTCGAACAGTGTGACTTACGGAGCAGGTATTCGGCCGAGTCCTGGTCGTAGTCCGCGTCTTCAGGGAAATGGTTGATTTGTGAACAAACTCCACGCTTCAGACCTGGAGGCGAGAGGAACAGACAGGTCTGAAAAAGAGGCTGAGGAAATACTATTATTTGCTGATAACGCTAACTTTCAAACCACAACACTTATAGTGTCCTGTGCAAAAACTGAAGGATTGTACTTTTAACTGTGATATTCATGATATTAATGTTTATCTATTTTTTTTGTTCGACCCTTTGAGTTGCCTTGTTTATCAACTCCATCCATCCATTTTCTTCCCCTTAATCAATCTCTGGGTCGAAGGGGTGGCAGTCAATCCATCCAACTATAGCTTCTCTCTTTCCAAAGGGTTTGGTTCTATTTCAGAAGGCGGGCCTTGTAAAAAAAAAAAATCCTTGTATGTGATTGGATAAACCACTTGTCAGTGATCTTGAATGACATGTTTCTTCAACCACTCACATCGAAGCACACGATTCAGCTCATGACTCTCATGGGTTGCCAAATGCCATCAAAATTTTCCAGCCCAAAACACGCGAGAATGCCCAAACAAAAACACCCAGAATGATTTTTTGGCTAAAAACGTAAAGTGATCAACTCGGGCTTTCATGATTCTTTTTGTTGTCTTTCTGTTTATTTATTACCCACAAGTCATTTGGAACAAAAGTATGCGGGAAACCACCCAACCTGGCAACCCCGTTGCATAGTGTTGTAACAGGAACTAAACACACTTTACATGAACATTTGACTCTTAAAAGGTACACTGGGTAATGTTTAGTGCCATCTAGCGTTGAGATCTTATATTGCAGTCCAAGGTACTACGGAAGCCTGTGCTAGAAAATATGTGTCTTTGACAGTGTTCCTCAACTCTCAGTCATTTGCCAGACAACCAAGGAAAGAATACGTTCTGAAGCGGCACCTGCTGCACAGAGGCTCTACTGAGTTTTACCATGGATCTATTATGATATAATGCGTGGCCCTGGTCCATGTTCTGTAGCTTAGGTCCTGGATCTATAGCCCGTCCGTCCGTGTGGAGCGGATCCCTCTCAATATGTGGGTCTCCCCGAGGTTTTTCACTTTTTTCCCACTGGGTTTTTCTTATGAGTTTTTTCTTGTTGATGTAGGAGGGTATGTTGGACAGTTAGTGCCTAACAAAAAGCACTGTGGTGATGATCCAGGACACTTTAACATTCTACAACATGTATGGACATTTATCAACATGTGTTCTATATTCTTTTTGTGTCCTAACTGTTGATTCACTGATCTGTGTTGGTGATTTCAATGGTTTTGTTAAGTCCACTGGGAGGACTACAGTTGTGATTTAGGGCTACACAAGAATAAATTGTATTGTATTGTAAAATATATAGGTTTACAAACGCGGTGTGAAGAGAAGAGACGCATGGAGGATTAGCATCTGCGGGAGCTTAAAACTACAATGATCAGAGAAGCACGACATATACGGAGCCATGGCTAACAGCTCATGTTAGCATTAGCTTTAGCCACAGCGCCCTATCTGCAGCACGGTAAGAAAAACAGAACTTTCACTCACGATGCTGATAAAGTATTCTGGCGATTGTTTCGTGGGGATTTTGTGTGTGTTTTATTTGAGGCTTTGTCTCTGAATAAGTTTAGTTGAAATTTGTGACAGTAGTTGGACTGTGCTTGGATCGGGTCAGAACATCCTGAGACTGTGTTGCAGATTCTGCCTCGTTCTCATAATTTTCAGTGTGAAAAAAGTTACGTATTGTTCACGTGAGTCTGTTGAGTACAATCTACACAATGTGCCTACTGTTGTGTTAACACTGTCTTTCGGTGTGTGCGGTTTGCAATATTGACACTTTGCTGCTATGACGCCGGACTTTTGCATAATTATTTTTCAAAAAGATTGTTGTTCGGGTTGTTCTTTTCATAACTGTGGTCCTCCATGGTTCTTTTACATAACTGTGGTCCTCCATGGTTCATTTATATAACGGTGGTCTTCCACTGTTCCATCTTCAAACTTGTGAAGGCACGGTGAAAGTAACAATATTAGTAGCTCATGTGAAACGAAAACGCGATTCTCTCCTTCTTAATGTCCCTTATCCACCTCTGTATTTCAAGATGGCGCATTGACACCAAAAGTGGCCAAAATGAGGTGCACTGACATGCTTGCAATACCACCCCGGGCCGATGGGGGTGGACCATGGATCTATTATAATAACTGGATAGGGTATCACCAGCTTGTAGCTGAATAACTCATGTGCTCGGGGGATTCTCGCGGTACTGTAGACTAGACCAGACTAAATTCATGTGGGCTACCCAGAAATGTTCCCCATAGGACTCAATGCATATTAAAACAGCTCAACCTCAGCTGACAGAGAACCTACAGCTTTCATAAAGGTCGGATTTTGTGGGGATTTTAGTGTCCCTTGTCATCCTGAACTTTTTTTCTTCTTAAATTCACACTTTTCTGCCACAAACTCTGCTTGTCTGGCTCTCGCTCTAACTCCGGCTCTGATGAACTGCTCTGATTGGTCAGAGCGCGGCCGAGCCCCTCTGTGCACGTGCGTGAGACCCGGTGTGAGACCCACACAAGCGTGTTTGGCGCAACGCATTATGGGAAATAATCCACTGTGCAGAGACGGGAGGACCAGACGATGCCCAAATACAGGCGAGTTTCCCATAGATCTTTGCGAGTTCCAGGCGACTTCCGCTAATTTTTCAATCGAAACTGTTTTAGTCGATCGATTTCACAGTGACATTTGTTTACTGTTTTATTTGTTTTATTTTTGTCTTTCAATGTTGTTTTATGTCTGTATTTGTCTGTGCACACTGGTGACTTTTGCTAATGTATTCCAATGTGGTGTTTTTACTGCAAATGGCAAATAAACTGAATCTTTACAGGATGGACCAAAAGTTGGCTCTTGGCCCAAAGCTCCGTTCCACATGTGTGTCAATGCTGAGGGGGGTGGATTTTTTTGGTCCACTCTAGTTTACTTGCGGTGAATATTGGAAGTCTCTCGTTCAAATAAATGGAGCTGCGCCGGCTGACGCATGCGCAGAAGGGTTTTTTCACAATTTTCTTGTGGGCGGGACCCAAGCCCCGGCGATCCAAGATGGCGCCCTATTCAAATGAATGGTTGTGCTCAGTGGCGCTTTGTGATGGCATGGGGGCTGAAATATAAGCGGAAGTCGCCTGGAACTCGCAAAGATCTATGGGAAACTCGCAAAGATCTATGGGAAACTCGCCTGTATTTGGCCATCGCCAGGTCCTCCCGGTTCTGCGCAGTGGATGATCTCCCATAATGCGTTGCGCCAAACACGCGTGTGTGAGTTTCACACCGGGTCTCACGCACGTGCACAGAGGGGCTCGGCCGCGCTCTGACCAATCAGAGCAGTTCATCAGAGCGAGGGTTAGAGCCAGAGCCAGACGAGCAGAGTTTGTGGCACTAAAGTGTGGATTTAAACAAAACCGAAGGATTTAAGAAGAAAAAAAGTTCAGGATGACAAAGGACACTAAAATCCCCACAAAATCCGACCTTTATGAAAGCTGTAGGTTCTCTGTCAGCTGAGGTTGAGCTGTTTTAATATGCATTGAGTTCTATGGGGAAAATTTCTGGGTAGCCCACGTGAATTTAGTCTGGTTCAGTCTGCAGTACCGCGAGAATCCCCTGAGCACATGGGTTATTCAGCTACAAGCTAGTAATACCCTATCCAGTTAATACAATAGATCCATGGCGGGACCACTCGCGGCCATTTTGGATTGCTCCATGAAAGCACTTTTCATGGCCAACTCCTATGAACGGCGGAGATAAGCGTGACTCTGTCCGTTAATATATACAGTCTATGGTTCAAATGAATGGAACTGCGGCGGCTCACGCATGCGCACATGCGTTTTTTAACAATTTTCTTTCGAGCGGGATCACTCGCGGCTATTTTGGATAGCTCCAGCAGAGCACATTTTTTGGCCCATTAGCTAGAACGGCGGAGATAGGCGTGACTCTGTCCGTTAATATATACAGTTTATGGTTTTTTGAAACCATTGGATCTGAGTTTGATGAGCCAACTCCTCTGGCGCTAACATAGCCCGTGGGGAGTAGCGCCACAATTTTTTCCTTCGATTACATTTGCTAAACATTCCTATTGCTCCGGCATCATTTCTTGATAGAACCAGACCGGATTACTTTACTATCGCATCTTTCGCCATTGCAAAACTACAACCTGCCCGTTCGACGCAAACTCTTGACATCACCCACAACTAACTACATCACCTGCCTTCCGCGCTCTCTGAACGGTCGGTCGAAATTCAACCGATTGTAAACGCTAACATGGGGACCAGACCCAGACGTTACATGAAGTGATGGGAATAACGGCGTTACTAGTCACGCCGTTACTTTTTTCAGTAACGAGTAATCTAACGAATTACTTTGACTGTAACTATAACGCCGTTATCATTTGCCGACATCCCGTTACTGCGCGTTACTCAAGAAGCACAATGAACTTCTCTTTTTACTTCGTGATAGGACTCGTGCGCGTGTTATCACGAGAGAAGGGAGGATGAGAAAACCTCTCAGAAATTATTGGCTGATGTAAAACATATTTCCTTTACAATCTACATGTCTACAGTTGAGAGGATGGCTCATAAATTGTGTTTTTGGAACAAATATGGGTCTTAATCGCGCTCAACCGCGGCTTGTATCACCGTGAGGCCAGCCTCAGAGGAGCGCATGTGAGCGCAGAAGTCGACTGCATACAATTCCATCGATAAGCTCCAGATAAGGTTTATCTGCTAAGGGCAGCAACAGGTTTGGCTAACATACATATAACACATTTTAAGATAATTTAAAATGCACTTAGGGTAATTATTCAATGACTATAGGAATGATAAGAAAGAGAGGTGAAGTGTAAGACGGTTGATTTTAGAAATTGGATGCACCCGGCTGCAGCTAGCAAAACAGAGGAGTTTATGGAGGACACACGCGTTTTGTTTTGCTTTTTAAAACTAATTGGACTCATTTCCAAATGGAGGATTACATATCTACGCTCAAACTATTATCTGGACTTAAACACAGAACTGGTCTGAACTGAAGTGGCCTGTGCAGGTCATTTATAAGGTAAGGCTTATACTTAACTCTTAGTTTTGCGTTTGTATGAACAAACAATGCGGGCATGAAACATATTCTGCTGTAGCCAAACAAATTGTGAATAAGCCGCTCTCTAGGTCCAGTTGATTTATATGATATATATGTTCATCTGATTGAGCTGAAGTCAGTGCTTCACCGGTGTTTCCACATTCAAAGTGGCAGGTGTTGGTGTTTAGTGCTCACAGCACAGAGAGAGATGAAGAGTGAACAGGACTTCAGCAGCAAAACAGCCTTTTCTAGATGGAAATATTGGCAATATTTCAAACTCACTGAGGTTAAAGGTAAAAATGCGTACGTCGAGTGCATATTATGTTCCAGAACAAAACGAAAAAGTAACGCAATAGTTACTTTTACTGGTAACTAGTTACTTTTATAGTGGAGTAACTCCGTTAGTAACTCAGTTACTTTTTCGGAGAAGTAACTAGTAACTATGACTAATTACTTTTTCAAAGCAAAGTGCCCAACACTGGTGAAATGATGATTGAACGGAGTGTACGGATGGCTAAGGAGCGCACTCCTCTCTCATGGACACTTATAAGTTAAAGGCGCTATACCCGTTTCTGCAATGTTTGAATGTTTAGCACCGCCCTCCAACTCGCTCAATGGCTTCTCATTTCCCCTACGCACTCATCCCACGGAGCCACCTAGTTTTATTTGCGATCTGATACATATGCTAACATTAGCATTAGCGCAACTTCTTGTAAGTTGTGCAACAATCACTGATGAAATGGCACTAAAGCAATGCACTGCTAACACAATATATAAGTAAAAGAATACCGCTAGTTTCGCGTCCGAATGTATTAATTTAAAACATTAGAATATATTCTAATATTTAATTATAATGTGTTATAGAGCTCCTCAAAGCAGCAGCAGCAATTCTTCCGATCATTTTTTCTTGATAACAGAACTCTCAAACCAATAATGACCGAAGCCCCAATGCAACCTCTGTTTGTAATTCAGGTGTGTAAAATACTGCCATTACTCTGCAAGTACAACAAGCTATCAGCACCTGTCACTACACACTCGTCTGTGTAGAGAAGCTAGCGGAGCTAGCCACGCTCAATAAACAAATACATATCTATCAATCAACACCATTAAACGTCAATCGGACAATACAGTATACATATACATCCTTAACACACATGCACGGATGATTTCAGAATTTGCTGTTAACGTTTTCATGACAAAAATACTGTTTTAAAGTGACAAAAAGCGATTGCGAAAAACCCGGAAGTTACCATGAAACAGCTAGCTAGCTTAGCTGTTACCTGCCTAGCACGTCCCGGTGAAACCTTTGGGAGCTAACTATTTTATTTGCAGTCATTAAATACATTTCGAATTACAAGGGTTGTCTAATATTTGTTCACATTTTTTTATTCAATTATTTTGTTCATCATTTTTTATTTTAGAATTATATTTGAATTTTGAAGTCGAAGCCCTGGTGTTAAGCAGCGCTGTAGAGGCTAGAGGACACAGGCTGTTCACTGCTCGTTCTGTGAGTGGAGGAGAAAGAGCGGCCCGCTAAGTCTCTAACTCAGCACTTTTCACTGCTTGTAATTCTTACACAGCTGACACAGCTGAATCAATGACCTCAAGTTTTCAATTAAATGATGTATTATGATACAACTTGTATGTAGTAAAAAGCATTTTTATGAACTACTTAGAAAAAATATCGGGTATAGCTTCTTTAAAGGAGCAATATGTAAAAATCTGGCCAAAAGTGGTACTGCAGTCACAGTCAATATTTTGTAGTCCTCTCCCACTCTCCCTGACTCAGGTTGCCAGATTCACACCAAATCCAGCAGCAAACACAGGGAATTATTTTATCAGTTGTTTGTCCGTCTCCATTCACATTGCCATGACAGCCGTGCTAATGCTGAATGAATGTTTTGATTCATGTTTTTTTATTATTATTATTTGGACATTTGAGATAAAAAACAAAAACAAAATAAAAGCAATGTAATTATACATAGTTTATGCAAAATAAATAAGCAATTGATGTCCAAAATAGGAGTGGGAAGAATGGATGTTGGAACGTATTTCTTCAGCGTATCAACATCAGGGTTTGCTCAAGAGGATATCACCTTTCAATTTTATTTATTCCCTATTTTTTAGACAAACATGTAAAAGTCCCACATCAAAAAGAGACTAACATTATTTTAATTGGGGTACATGTGGTCTTAAATGATTATTTTTACAATTAAGCTATAATCTGCAAAAAAACTTCTTGACCTTCATCTTTTACCGTTTTTAGAGCAATCTGTCATAGAATGTGATAACATGCAATAAATACAAAAAGACATAGCGCGGGATCGAACCCAGGTTCCTGCATCGTAAGCGCACAGTTTAGACTAGACCACCGATTCACACGAATAGAGACTCTGTGAAGAACGGACTCTAACCAGCAAATTCTGCATCACACGTGAACTTTTATCAGCTGTCTCAATTGTTCAAAGGCATCCCGATCTAAATCCTCGTTTTAGTCTTTGTTTTGTCATTAATGATTTGAGAGTCATAACAAGACCTTTTTTAGTTCTGCGGCCGCATGTTATTTTACCTCTGAGATTAGTGAGCCGCACGGAGTTCTGGCAACCCGATCCCGGACTTACATGACACTTCCTGATTGGCGAAACGGCGGAGGGTAGGACATCAAAATCAAAACAATAACAACTTTTACAGGTCGTAAAACTAATTTTGATAATCAAATATCTCGGCTGAACTACTGTTATCAGTTAAAGATGAATTCGAAAAGAGTATGATTTAATAACGCCTTTTGAAATATTTGGGTCATTTAAAGATGACTTGACATGCAAATATTACATATTGCTCCTTTAAATTCTAAGCCTATGAAAACAATAAAAAACATGGTGGAGGTAAATATTCTTAAACAGGTCACATTTGCTATAAAGTAAGTAATGTTTATTTATATAGCACATTTTACAGACCAAGGTCACCCAAACCGCTTTACAATGTTCAGAGTTCAGATATTGTTCCAATCATTCCACACACGGTGATGACGGAAGCGAGTCGCCGAACACACTGGACCATCAGCCCCAATCAACACCATCCATTCACTCTCTCATTTACATTCATACCTATTGTGCATGTTTTTAGTGGTAGGGGAAACTGGAGCACCCGGAGGAAACCTATGCAGACACGAGGAGAACATACAAACTCCACTCAGAAAGGCCCTGTTCCGACTGGGATTCGAACCCAGGACATTCTTGCTGAGAGGCGAGAGTGCTATCCGGAGCCTATTTAACACGTTTTTTCATTTGGAGCAACTGTAAAAATGACACTAGGTGGCTTTAAAACACACATATAACAACATGGAACCATCAACATCTCGCCTCATATTGCATTAAAAGTGACATCCGTGTCTTAATTTGTTCGTATTTAAACTATGCATTTGAACGGTTTGATTCTCTCTCTGCACTCTGGTCTCTCTCTAGTCTACCTCTGGTCTCTTATCTCGTGTTGGTGAATCCAAAACTTTGCAATCTGAGACAAATACTAATGTGATTGAGGGCGAGACTCAAATACATTGGATTGAATGAACAGCAGTGAAAGGAGTACACAAGCTCAGACTCATAAGGAGACTCACATTCCAATGTTTTTATCAAAGTAAAGGCATCAGTTTGATTCATCAATAAGCCTATTGTTGTCGCTGCTGTGCCACCTCTTTCTTGTATCTCTTTGTTGTTCTAAATTTACCCATTCTCAATCTCCACGATTCTCAATCTCACTGTCAGACGTCTCACATTCAACGATCTCTTCACACCATCATCCCACCACTCATGCAAATATTCATCTCTCTCTCAATAACACAGACCAGAGAGAGAGGGAGAGAGATCAGAGAGAGACCAGAGATAGAAAGAGACACCAAAGAGAGACCAGAGAGATTAGAGAGATGGACCAGAAAGAGAGTCCAGAGAGAGACTGGGGAGAGAAACCAGGGAGAGCAATCGGAAAGAGTGATCAGAAAGAGAGATTGAAGAGAGCCCAGAAAGAGACCAAAGAGAGATCAGAGAGAGACCAAGAGAGACCAGAGTGAGACCCGAGAGAGACCAGCTAGTGACCAGAGGGAGACCCCAGAGAGACCAGAGAGAGACCTCACCCTCCAGACAGCAGATCCTCCAGAGCCCAGAGTGGGTGAGGGCCCCCGGGTCCTTTTTGTCCTTGTTGGAGTCGTCCTGGGAGGAGGAGTTGGCCGTGCTGTTGCAGATGAAGGCGCGAGCGTAAAGCCAGTAGTCGGTCCCAATGGCCACCGTCATGAGGGCGAAGGCGGCGAACGCACCCATTGTGGTCAGCAGCACCTGGATACCACGCTCACACCAGACCAGGGCGGGACGCGGCAGGAAGCTCAGATCTAAAACAAACACACAGGTAGCATTTTTAAAGCACAGGGCTCCACGTTAGCAAGACAAGAAAGATAGTCTTGATAGTCTAGAAAGAAAGATTCGTCCCACAGTGCCGACATTTCAGTTTGATGAATATACAATCAAGGCATGCATCGTAAATTACTTCCACATGCCTTATTGGCAAAGTGGGTTAAGTGTCATGCCCAAGGACACAACGACAGTAGACATCAGTGGGAGTCGGTGGAGAAGGTCTCGAACCCACAACCTTCAGGCTGAACCAACTGAACCACTGTCAGACAGTGCAGGAGACCAGAGCAAGACCCAGGACACAGAGGGACTCTCAGATGAGCTGATGGAGGTGTGTGGAGAGGTAAATGTGTGTGTGAGTGTGTGCACTTGTGTCTGCTAATGTGTGTGTATTGGTCCCTATTTCTGTCTGTGTGTGTGCGTGTGTATCTGTGTGAGGTTTCAATCCCACTTTAATAAAAACAGTTGGGGCCTGCAGCGTTTGGCATTGACACAAGCACAAAAGTCTTGCATCTTCAACAAGAACAAACTCAGAACAAAGAGAAAAGAACGAGTTTGTGATTTTTATTTCAGATGAAAAAAACCACAATGGTCTCTCAGGCTGCGGTCACATGCACAGCCTAAAGCCCGGTTTAAGTGGGCCAGGGCCCACTTTGCAATTAGAGCCGGGCTTTATGTGCTATGTGACCGCGGCAAGTGGGCTTGGGCAGGATAGCCTCAACCACGCCCTGGCACGTCTGAAGACTTGGGCCAGAGCTCGCTTTGTAAAGCCCAGATGAGGGGGGTCAGTGTGGCGGGTGGGGAGTGGGGAGTGGGGGATGAGGTGTGGTGGGGACTTGATATTGTGCGTCACATTATGTCTTCCGTTGTGACAGGCATTTTCACACGAGTCTCTCCTGCACTTTCGTATTCTCTGTTTGTGTTAAACCTTTCATTTATGCACCGCACCGTGGTCGAGGGGCGCAGGGGGGTGTGTCGCTCCAGGGCCAAAGAAAAGCGTTTCCTACGGGAATAACTCCCTCTGTTCTGACCCTCGCTCATAGTGTGGTGCTATTGCAATATTACTTCAGACATTCAAGAACACACACACACACACACACACTTGTATTCTGCCTGTCTCAGGTCGCTCTGCTCTACTCCACACTTTTCATTCTTTCATTCTCATTCATTCATTTCTCAGCGCTCTTACGCTCGTTACTCTTGGCTTGTAAAAACCTATGTGACCCTGCCCTTAATAAGTTCTTAAGGATAATAAATAATGATAATCACTTCAGAACCCCTTCTGTCTAAATCAAAGGTGTCTAAGAGAGAGACAAGTGAGGGACCAGACAGAGAACGGAGAGAGACCAGAGAAAGACCTGAGAGTGAGACCAGAGGCCAGAAAGAAAGAGACCAGAGAAGTGTATTTGATATTGTTGATAATGACATATAGACTTATATATAAGGATCAACCAATCACAGGCCTTCATTCTCTCACTTGTTACTTGTCTTTACTTTTCAATAGGAGCCAGAGCAAGCTGAAGTAAAATTTCACCGTGAGCACTTCCCTATTGGAGTGGCAGACTGGGGTGGTGGTCTCCCTCTACAAGCAGGGGGACAGGAAGGTGTGTTCCAGTTATCGTGGTATCACACTCCTCAAGCTCCTCGTAAAGGTCTACTCCAAGGTACTGGAGAGGAGACTTTGACCGATAGTCGAATCTCGGATTCAAGAGGAGCAGTGTGGCCTCTATGGGGAGGTGTTCTGGACACGTCCCACCGGGAGGAGACCCAGGGGAAGACCCAGGACATGCTGGGGGACTATGTCTCTTATCTGGCCTGAGAACCCTTTGGGATCCCCCCAGATGAGCTGGAGGAAGTGTTTGTGGATAGGGAAGTGTAAGCGTCTCTGCTTAAATTGCTGCCTTGCGACACGGCAACGGATGAAGCGGAAGAAAATGGATGGAACTTTCCTTTTGGGCGTCATTGAGCTAGCGGGTTAGCATCTGTACACAGTTGTCTTCAGCCTTCTCTTCTACTTCTTGTTATTTTGAGATTGCCTGTTACCATAGAAACCATGCTACGACTGATTCCAGCAGTTTTGGTGAAAAGGCCTCGTGGGGACTGTGTTTGTGTGTGTCTCTTTCTGTATGTTTGTGTGAGAATGCGTGTGCTTGTGTGAGCCTCTCTGTGTCGCTGTGTGTGTCTCTCAGTGTGTATCTGTTAGTTCTTCTCCAGATCCTGAAGGGTTAACTCTCGAGCCCACGCATGTTCTCTGCTCCTGTGTGCGGGAAATCAATGTCCCTATTTCAGAATATTTATGGGAACAAGAAAACACACATACACATCACTGAGACAGTTCATGAAACACACACACGGGCGTGTAATTCTTTTAAAATCCATCAGTTTTCCATACATCCACACAATAGTGCAACAATTTAACAATCAGTCCTGGATCTACAGCCTCAGTCCTGGATCTACAGCCTCAGTCCTGGATCTTCAGCCTCAGTCCTGGATCTACAGCCTTAGTCCTGGATCTCCAGCCTCAGTCCTGGATCTAGCCTCAGTCCTGGATCTACAGCCTCAGTCCTGGATCTACAGCCTCAGTCCTGGATCTTCAGCCTCAGTCCTGGATCTACAGCCTCAGTCCTGGATCTTCAGCCTCAGTCCTGGATCTACAGCCTCAGTCCTGGATCTCCAGCCTCAGTCCTGGATCTACAGCCTCAGTCCTGGATCTTCAGCCTCAGTCCTGGATCTCCAGCCTCAGTCCTGGATCTACAGCCTCAGTCCTGGATCTACTGCCTCAGTCATTTATAAGGGTCATCTAAACTTGTTTTGATTATTTTTCAAAAATGATTCCTTTTAAAATCAAGTGATAAACCATGTTTCAGTGGGAGTTCATCTTTCGCTTTGTCACTGATGATCTCTAAGTTTTTATGTACCTGGTCACTGTAGAATGATCAAATCAGAAGCTGATCTGGTCTTTTAAAATTTCAAGTTTGTCAATCTTTCTTATCCACACTATCTTTTTGATATGTCTCTGTTTGATTTTTTAATCAATAAGAGAACATTTTGTAAAAAAAGTTATGACCTTTTAAATACCTTACTTCAATGTAATTGACACTTTACTGTGAACACACCCATGTGTCTGTTATCATTACATTTCCTGAGTTTGAACTGTTTGATTCTCTCATCTGTTGTCGGTGAATCCACAACTTTGTAAAGTCCTGTGAGACGACAGTTGTTCTGATTTAGTACGTTGAATTGAATTGAGCTTTTCAGACAGAGGAGATTAAAATATTGAACCAAAGCGTCAAAAAGTGACTCACAGGAAGTAATCTTAAAGCTGTGTGAAATACTTTAAGCTTATAAGGACCAGTATGAAATGTGTTTTATGAAAAAAATTTAGCTTACCCAGCATTAATTGCTTCACAAATGTTTGGCATAAATAATGACTGTCCAGAGAAACTACAAAAGTGACAATATATTGAAGAAGACACATGTCCTGAATAGAGAGCTGTAAAGTGAATCATATCGATACTTAAAGCCGTGTTCTGGAACATTCTAACCGCTCCAAGTGTTCGCCCACTAATGCATTTATTGTTCAGACAAATGGATTTTCCAATGAATAAGTGAAGACGGAGGCTGTGGTTCAGGGATTATGGATTAAAACAAATGAGTGAATAATTTACCGTCATGAATTATGTTGTACATGTGCTCAGGATGTGGTACTAGTGATGGTACTAGAAAGTACCATCATGTAGTCCTGGTCTCAGGTCTCTGTCCTAAAGTCCTCTCACATTAGTACTGGTCTCAGGTCTCTGTCCTAAAGTCCTCTCACATTAGTACTGGTCTCAGGTCTGTCCTAAAGTCCTCTCACATTAGTCCCGGTCTCATCCTGGTGTTTATATTGTTATATTCTCTTTGGCAAAAGCTCTGGTGTGTGTCGTCTGGTGCACTGTGTCTTGTACAGTTTTTCCAATGTGGTTTTACTGCAAATAAATTCTTGAATCTTTGAAAATCCAGATGTGAACAATAAGGATTGAACAATCAGAGGTTGTATCACTCCTTCACTGTATCCAACAGATCAGTGAGTGGATGCAAAACAACTTCCTTCAGCTAAACGCAGACAAAACTGAAATGATTGTCTTTGGTCCCCAGAAACAAAGAGAGAGCGTCATCTGTCACCTACAGTCTCTCTCCCTAAAACCTTCAAACAAGGTCAGAAATCTAGGGGTAATACTGGACTCAGACTCAAATTTTAATAGCCACATCAAATCAGTAACATCAGCAGCTTTTTACCATCTAAAAAACATTGCCAGGATCAAAAACATAGTGTCTAAAGCAGACCTGGAGATTATCCATGCATTTGTCTTGGGTAGGTTAGACTACTGCAATGGCCTGCTCACAGGTCTGTCCAAACAGGCTGTAAAACAGCTGCAGTACATTCAAAATGCAGCAGCTCGAGTCCTGACTAGAACCAGGAAGTACGACCACATTAGTCCAGTCCTCAGGTCTCTGCACTGGCTTCCTGTGGCTCAGAGAATAGACTTTAAAACAGCTCTGCTTGTGTACAAATCTCTCCATGGCCTCGCACCAAACTATATTAGTGACATGTTAGTCCCATATGAACCAGCCCGGACTCTGAGGAGCACAGGGACTGGACTCCTGTTAGTGCCCAGAGTCAGAACTAAACATGGGGAGGCTGCTTTTCAGATTCATGCTGCTAAAATCTGGAACAGTCTTCCTGAAGATGTGAGACAGGCCTCCTCTCTGACAATGTTTAAGACAAAGTTGAAAACAGTTCTGTTTAGCTGTGCATACAACTGAGGGATTTTATATTTTTATCTTTTTTTTTAATGTACTGTGATTATTTATGATTTTAATGCTTTCTTGTTCTGTTCAGCACTTTGAATTGCCTTGTGTATGAATTGTGCTATACAAATAAACTTGCCTTGCCTTGCCTTGCCTTCATTACAAAGGAAACTTCAGCAGACACGAGGAGAACATGCAAACAGGACCTTCTTGCTGTGAAGCACAAGTGCTAACCACTGCACTACCCAGAGAGAGACCAGAAAGACAACAGAGAGGGACCAGAGAAAAATCAGAGAGGGACCAGAAAAAGAGAAACCGTAGAGAGACCACAGAGAGATCACAGAGAGAGAAAACAGAAAGAGACGAGGGAGGCCAGAGACCAGCTGTGCACTTTTGAGAATTGGTTAATGTGGCTTCTGCTTTGGTCTTGCTTCTGTCAGTAGATACAATGAAAAACACACATTTAGACACTGTAGCAGCTGAACTGCAGTTGTCAAAATGGAGACTAATCCCACCTTAATTGTTGCATTCATAATATCTAATTTTGTCGCTATTGTCACCAGATTAGCTCAGCTTCTAATCCGATCCTTAAATCAATTCTGCACTGACAGCTTTTATAGACTTTTAACCATCAACGATCAATACTATTCACCGGAGTCTGCAGCCATTTCTTCAACACCTGAATCTAACAAGACATCCACAAACACACCTCACATGGACGTCTCTGGGGGAGAGCAACAGCTGTGCTTTTGAGAGAAACCAGAAACCAGAGAGATGAGAGAGAGAGCAGAGAAAAATCAGAGAGAGAATGCAGAAAGATGAGAGAGAGACCAGAGAGCGAGAGAAACTGAAAAAGAAAGACAGAGAAAGCCGAGAGAGCAGAGAGAGACTAGAGAATGATCAAAGAGAGACTAGAGAGAGATAGCAGAGAAAGACAAGAGAGCCCAGTTGTGTACTTTTGTAAATTGTTAAAAAAGCAACAGTATTGGAAGCAAAATACATGTTTATAGCTGGTTTTGACACCGATTTAAAAAACCTGCAATCACATTCCATTGAAAGTGTCAGTCTCACCTGAAGGGACACTTCTGGTCTTCGAGTCCATGGTCTCCGACGGGTATTCGTCTTGTATTAAACCAGGTTTCCTCCATGCAACGCTCGTCTTTCTCGTCTAATCTCTCTTCCTTTGTCGGCTTGTCTGCGACCACTCCTTGTCAATCTTCAGTGTTTTGTCATTTAGCAGTTTTTCACCCCTCTCTCTCCTCTACGTATTTCTGGTTTCTCTCTGGTCTCGCTCTCTGGTCTCGCTCTGGTTTCTCGCTGGTCTCTCTCTGCGTGACATGCAGAACGTGGGATGCCGAGCTCACCGGGTGATGTCACTGGAAGAAGTGGATGCAAAGGGTGTAATCAGAGAAGGGTCCAGAGGTGCAGAGAGGCTAAAATCATCAAACCCGTAAAATACAATAATGTAATATTATCTGTGTGTGTGTGAGAGAGAGAGTGTGTGCGTGTGTGTGTTATTGTGTGTGAAGCTGGTATAAGGAATATGAGGGGATGGAGACAAGAGAGCGTGCTCCGAGCCGGTTTCCATGGCAACACTGTTTCATGAATGCAGCGCGAATGATAACAGGAGATGTGTGTGCGTGTGTGTGTGTATGTATGTGAGAGAGAGAAAGAGAGAGTGTGTGGCCAGGAAAATAAAAGGCAAAGGAAATCCAGTGTGTGTGTCATGTCAAAAGACAAACTGAGGGACATGAGTGAGAGTGACCAGAAAGAGGCCGGAGAGAGACCAGACCAAAAAAGGCTTTTTATGGAAACAAATTGGAAATGTCTGTCTGCAACACGTCCACCCACTAACTACCAGAGAAAGAGAGATAGACAGAGGTAGAGAGAGAGACAGAGGGAGGGAGAGAGATAGACAGAGGGAGGGAGAGAGATAGACAGAGGAAGAGAGAGAGAGAGACAGAGGGGAAAGGTGTGTAGAGTCATGGAGGTAAACTGGGACTCCTCATAATCCCAGCAGGAGGCCAGTCCCTGTGCTCCTCAGAGTCCCAGCAGGAGGCCAGTCCCTGTGCTCCTCATAGTCCCAGCAGGAGGCCAGTCCCTGTGCTCCTCAGAGTCCCAGCAGGAGGCCTCTCCCTGTGCTCCTCAGAGTCCCAGCAGGAGGCCAGTGCCTGTGCTCCTCATAGTCCCAGCAGGAGGCCAGTCCCTGTGCTCCTCAGAGTCCCAGCAGGAGGCCTGTCCCTGTGCTCCTCAGAGTCCCAGCAGGAGGCCAGTCCCTGTGCTCCTCAGAGTCCCAGCAGGAGGCCAGTGCCTGTGCTCCTCATAGTCCCAGCAGGAGGCCAGTCCCTGTGCTCCTCAGAGTCCCAGCAGGAGGCCAGTCCCTGTGCTCCTCAGAGTCCCAGCAGGAGGCCAGTCCCTGTGCTCCTCAGAGTATGTGTGTGTGTGTGTATTTCAGAGTGCTTCACTGATGTTACAAAGGCACCAACATAAAAAGAAAATACAAAGAGTGAGTTGAAGGACAAAGGCAGCGTGAGAGGACCACAGTGTGTGAATACAGATGATCTGAGAAGAAAGGGACACATTCACATTTGACAGTGATTAAGAGGTGAAGATGTCCCTTTACTGTCCTGTTTATATACAGATGACATTCACACTCATGACCATGGACTGTATACAGATGGACAATGCTAACCCGCTAACTCAAAGAAGCTCAATAGGGAAATTTGGCTCTTATTGACATGTAAAAGTAAACCCCTCTAGCTCAGTAACCATTTTTATTATATGACTTGGACCGTACGCACGCTCTGATTGGCTGATTACCGGTCTGATATTTTCCCATCTCGGACCATTACCATGACAATTGGTCCGAACAGTGCGTATCACATTTGATATCTTTCCTCGGACCGTTACCATGACAATCTGTCCGCAGCGCGTATCACACAAAACCAAGTCGGACATGGACATACTTCACAAATATCTCAAAAGCATTGGTAAAGACACAGACGAGAGTCATATAATAAAACATTTATTGAACTTGCTTGCTCGGTCTGTACAGAGAAATATCAGACCGCGGCCTTAATGTACAGACCGTGGCGAGGTCTGGGCAAAAAGGCCAAGAAACATACAGACCTCGCCCTCGGTCTCCATACAGACCTCGCCCTCGGTTAATAAGCCGTTAGTATTACGCTCACCATTTGGGCTTTAAAACCCTCTTTTCTCTGTTTTCTCTCTCTCTCTGGTCTCTCTTTCTGCTCTCTCTCATGTTAATGTACAAAAACGTTTTACTCTAAAATCCGACAAGGACAGCAGGAGGAAGCTGTTTCTCTGCCCTTCGTCTCTTTCTGTTCTGCACATAAACTGGAGACGTCTTGTTGGAACGTGTCACCGTGCAGTGAAACTCATCGTGACATATGAAACTGGAGACAGGAAGCTGCTTCGGGGGTTTGCGGCTCCTACTGTCCTGAGCCCTCTGGACACTGCCTGTAACGGTTACTTTGACAATTGTACGAGCAACAGCCCTGACACTGCAAAATATCTGCAGATGTGTGGATAATATTCTTTATAGTGTCTCTCTGGTTTATCTCTATGGTCTCTCTCTAGTCTCTCTAATTTCTCTCTCTGGTTTCTCTAGTAGCTCTCTCGTCACTCTCTGGTCCCTTTCGCTTGCCCCTCTCTGGTCAATCTCTGGTTTTTGTTTGCCACGATTTGAAATAAAGTATTCATTCTCTCTGGTCCCTTTCTCTCGTCTCTCTGTGGTCTCTAGTTTCTCTAGTCTCTCTCTGATCTCTCTCTCTCTCTGTTTCTCACTCTGGTCTCTCCCAGAAGCTATTTGTTTTGACTGGTTCCACAGCTAAATTGTTTCATTGACTTTTTAGCTTGTTTTATGTATTAGTCTGGTACACTCTGTGGACTCTTGCACATGTATTCCAATGTGGGTTTACTGCAGATGGCAAATAAAGTGAATCTGAATCCGTTGGTGAGAGCTCAGATGTGTGGGGGGATTGATCGATTCAAGATGGCCGCCTGGGAGCACATGTCGCTGGAACCGGTGGAGTAATGCAGACGGACTCTCAGGTCGATGAGGACACAAACATGAGACCCGGAGGAGCCGAGGGCCGGGCTCCTGACAGGTCTGGGCTTTTACTAGGGTTGCCCACTTGAGAACAGAAAAATAAGGGACACCATTTGGGTGGATCGGGTTGAGGACTTTTTAGTTGTCCTAATTTCAATCTACAAAGGAATCATGGAATGTCATATTCTCAATTGTTTTAATGTAGTTTCAACAATGATTTTAAATAAATAGGTGCAATTCTTTGGCTGGTTAAGGACAACCAGGTCGTGTCGTATCAACCAGGTCGAGCGTTGCGCTCACAAAACGCCAGACGTCTGGTGGTCCCTAAGGTCTCAAAGGTCACTGTTGGTGGCAGAGCATTTAGCTACCAAGCTCCTTTACTGTGGAATCAGCTTCCCATTTATGTTAAGGAAGCAGATACGGTCTCCACATTCAAGGCCAGGCTTAAAGCACTTTACTTTAATTTAGCATATAATTAGGTAATATATAATATGTAGTGTATATATTATATATATATGCTGTATTATGTTATATATTATGTTATATATTATTCAATAATGTATTGTGTTATGTTGTATATTATGTTATATATTATGCTGTATGTTATTCTTTATTCAAGGCTAGGTTTAAAACAGTCCTCTTTAGTTTAGCATATGGCTAGGAAGGTAAGACTCGGAGAAGGTTAAACTCCTCAGAGTGTCAGTCAAGCTGCATAGGGAGTCAGTTTGCTGGGAGAAGTATGGTAACTTGAGCACTATCCTCTCCTCCTTCCTACTTTATCTGTTTAGCATTTTTAGGATTCTGACTGTAGTTTGTTCATTGCTATTCACCCGTTGTCCCATTGTCTGTTTCATGGTACGATGACGGGATCTCTGAGCCTGGCCTCTTCCATCTACACCTGCGGACTGCCCCGCCCGACCCGCCTGGGAGTGCTTCGGTCCTGCACCGGACCTGTCCACGTTCAGCGGCCACTGGTCCACGTTCTGTAGCTAGCTTAGGTCCTAGATCATTAGCCTGTCCGTCCGGAGGAGCGGATCCCTTTCTCAAATGGGTCTCCCTCCCTGTGGGTTTCCCTAGTGCTCCTCCAAGGTTTCTCACTTTTTCCCACTGGGTTTTTTAAGAGTTTTTCCTTGTCGATGCAGGAGGGTCTTGTTGGACAGTTAGTGTCCAACAGAAAGGATTGGTGATGATCAGGACACTTTAGCATTCTACAACATGTATGGACATTTTCTTTTGTGTGTGCTTTATATTCTTCATGTGTTTTAACTGTTGATTCTCTGACCTGTGTTGGTGATTTCAATGGTTTTGTTAAGTCCTCTGAGATGACTTCTGTTGTGACCTAGGGCTATACAAGAATAAAATGTATTGTATTGTATTGTAAGGACTTCATTTATGCTTTTTATTCATAACAAATATTTAAAAAGTAATGATCATATCTGAGAATTTCCTGACAACGCTGCTTTTACAAGAAAAGCTACTGAACATTAATATCAATATTTAATCATAGAAAATATAAAAAAGAGAAAAATTATGAAAATGAAGGTTGTAGCAGTTAGATATGGTCATTATTTATGCATTATTTATGCATTTTCTGTAAAGACCATTTACTGTAAAAGCAACTAATACATACAGTGCCTTGCGAAAGTATTCAGCCCCCTTGAACCTTTCAACATTTCGCCACATTTCAGGCTTCAAACATAAAGATATAAAATTTAAATATTTTGTCATGAATCAACAACAAGTGGGACACAATCGTGAAGTGGAAAGAAATTTGTTGGATAATTTAAACTTTTTTAACAAATAAAAAACTGAAAAGTGGGGCGTGCAATATTTTTCGGCCCCTTAACTTTCAGTACAGCAAACTCAGTCCAGAAGTTCAGTGAGGACCTTTGAATGATCCAAAGTTGTCCTAAATGACTGATGATGATAAATAGAATGCACCTGTAATCAAGTCTCTGTATAAATGCACCTGCTCTTTGATAGTCTCAGGGTTCTGTTTAAAGCGCAGAGAGAACCATGAAGACAAAGGA